GTCTGAAGCGCTAAATTGTGCTATTCTTAGCTTCCCTTGAAATGAGATGAAAAAGGTTATGTAGAGTTGAATTTTCCTTTGAACATCTAATTGCAGCTGGATGCTATGCCGAATGGTAAGTTACGGTAATTCCAGCGCTTCCTCCTGCACTGAATAGCTCTTTGAACGAGCAGCATTTTAGCTGCAGCCTTGTGAATCCTCCCCTTCACCTTGTGGCAGGCACCAAGCTGGTTCCCAACCCTGTGGTACCGGCTGAGAGGGTGTTTGCAGCCGATCGCAGCCATGGTTCTCCAGAGCACAAGACGCCATTGTCTGCATTAAGAGGCAGCTCCATCCTTTCCAAAAGACTCTGGGGTCCCCAGTCTCCCGAGGGGCAGTGTCAGGTCTGCGGAGCGCGGTGGGCAGCAGCAGCAGCAACCACGCTGTAGAGGAAGGAAAAGGTTGGTGGGGGCTCGGTGTGTCCTGCAGTGAACATTAGCCTTTAACTTGGGAACCCTCAACCGCAGCCTCAGCCCTGGGTTACTGGCTCAGTATCTCCGAGGGGTTGGAGCTGGTCCCGTTCAGTGGCAAGCTCGCTATGAACCCCTAGTCTCCTTTAGGAAATGTGGTTGGGGAGCTTTCTGTACGGTCTTGTGTGGAAGCCTCGGAGCTATTCCCGAGAGCTGGGAAATATGACTCAGGGAGGAGTGAACTTTACACTCTTGCGGGCTATCGCAGGCTTTTCCGCTCCTTTTATTGACACACGTTTTTAATTTTAAAAGTGATGCTCACGCAGGTGTGTCGCGTGTGTGCTGGACGCGCGTGCGTGGGCGCACACCGAGGGGGAAGGAGAGCCTCTTACACAGTAAAGGGCATGGGCCTGCTTGGAAGGAGCTTATCTGGCCCCTTTGGGCCGCACTGAGCTTTGGACCAGCTTCTGAACTCGGCTCTGCTGGTGCATGAATGAAGCACATTTCAACCCCTGGCATTGCCCCACGCTCACATCAGCATCGCTGAGATTGCAATCTGTCTTCCTCCCCATCCATCTCCGCAGAGCCTTGCTTTGAAGCGTCCCCTGCAGCCAGTTCAGCAGCCAGCCCAGGGTATAGCTTTATCTTCCTCGTCTGCTGTTTGATGGTCTCCTTGCAGGTGCAGTTAAGCTGTGTCTAAGTTTAAGGGATTCCTTTTTTTTCCGAGCTGGCTCTTTCTTGTTCAGACCTCACTGCTTTGTTGACCAGACCTGGTGGAAAAACCCCAGGTATTTGGGGTTGGACTCGAGTAGCGAGGGGAGATTTTTTGACCAGGAGGCACTCCCATTCCCAGAAACGTAATGATTGAGAGAAGCTGGCTGCTGCTCTGATGCCCATTGGTTAGCCCTTACCCCGTATGGTTACCAACTGTGACTGAAGCTATTCCGGGAGATTTTTTTTCATGACATTATGTCACTAATTGTACTGTTCAACCTGTTCACAATATCCATTTTGCTTTCAGTAGTCACCGGGAGATTGATGCCAGTTCCGGTAGACTCCCAGCCAACGTGGGAGGGTTGGCAACCCTATTGCTGACATGGGAACGGGTAGGAAGGATGCTGGGGGGGACAGCAGAGCGGAGAAGCCAGCATTGAATTGATCCCAGCCTCAGAAAAGGAACCAGAAAGTATCTCTGGGGGATCTAGGCAGACTTCACCATATACAGATGCTTTACGCTGCAGCAGATCACTAAAACAAGGATGGGGGGGGACACATATACACTCACATATGAGTGAATGGAAATGGCTTCAGATTGCTGAGTTATGGGGTAACAGACTGGCTCTGGCATGGGCAGCTACCAGCAAGGAAAGCTTTGGCACAGAGGGTGCCTTTGCAGCCGGTGCACTTTGTGGACCTAGGGGCTGTGAGCCAGGAAGGGTTTAACAGAGCTCCCGACACCGTTCCAGTCCCTCTGCTGGGGAACTGAACCAGCGCAGGTAGAGGCCGATTCCAGCCCGACCATCTAGTCCCACCATTGCACCGAGAGCGTTTTTTTTTTCCACCCCACCAGGAAGTGACTCTCCCCGCAGAAAGCTGGATCCAGTCCCCCCCACCCCACACTGTAAATGTTGTCTTGTCTCCAGTGCATTGGGTCAGATTCGCATGCGTGATTAACGACCCAGGGGATGCAGCAGTGGCTCCTGGCCATGGCTAATGTCAGATAACAAATATGAATGCATTGTGTAAATATTTACATAAAACACAGGCACGTGCCGCCTCCCTGGTGCAGCCGAAAACCTCCCAGTCCCAGCCACTCGCATCTCCCCGCAAGAGTGAGCAGAACAGGCAGCGTGGGATAGTAACAGGGTCCATGACCTCCATGCTTGCGATGATGCCCGTTGATCATGGTCCTGCTTGAGACGCTGGCTTCTCCGACTCGGGTGGCTTTGCACAACCCTTTAGCAATCCCGACAGCAAAGGTCTGCCAGGCCTGTGAAAGATTCCCCCACTGAGGCAGTGGCAAGGTGCCTGTCCCTTCATGCCAGCAGGGCAGACTACGGGGTCAGTGGTTGAGAGCTGTTCTCCTGCTTGGGATCTCTCTTCCTTTGCAGTGGTGTGGGAAGGACAGAGTGATTGCAAACCCCAGGGTGAGGACTCGGGGGCTGGCTTGTGTCTTGTGTGCTCACTAGTTGGTGTTCTGCTGTGGCAAAGACCTGATTTACTGTTCCTGCCTCCCCCTTGCCCCATATCTTATAGTCACCAACACTGTAAAATTTGGGCTCCTCAAGTACTAATGAGGAGAGGAAGGGAAGGGCTGTTATCCCCATTGCACAGACAAGGGACTGAGGCACAGAGAGGTAAAGCAACGTGCCCAAGGTCACACAGGGAGTCTGTGGCAGAGCATTCCTCTGGCTTGTGTATAAAAGGGAAAGATACTTCCATTGACTAGCACCCCTTTCAGGGGCTGTGCAGCCATCACAACCCTTTTAAAAGCTCATATCGTTCCACTTACCACTCTTGTTCTTTTCTCTCTTATGGGAACAAGTGATGGGACCACCCTGGGCAGATAGCAAAAGCAGCCCATTCATAATGACTCCAGCGACAGCTTGCTCGCTGCTTTGTGGGGAGAGGCTGTGTAACCCTCAGCCACTGGCAGCGCTGGAGAGCCAGCCAAGCTACTTTCCCCCTCTACAAAGAAAAAGATGCCTTTCCAGGTGCATTAAATATCTTCCTGAGCGAGCCATTAACAGGCACAAATGTGCCCGCTGCAGTTCATGAGGGCTCCGCTAGTCACTAAGGGACCAGATAGCAAAGCCAGGGGGGAGAGAGCCAGGTGAATAGCTGATGCTTATAAACTTCAGTCCAGTGCAGTCAATAGCCATCTGATGGCTACTTCCATTAAAACCTCCAGCACCTCTGCCTCCTGTTGTGTCAGGCCTCTGCAGCCAGCAAGCTGTGCACCCGTGGAGCCATGGTGTGCAAGCCAGGCCTATCCCTCCTTCCTTGGCACTTGCCCCGTCCATTAGGTAGACAGCCCGCTAGCTGAGTGACTAGTGCTGAATTTCAGCACTAGCCGAGTGACTAGTGCAAGAAGGAGGGTGGAGACGGGGTGTTAGGCTGAGATGGGATGGAAGGGGAGACTCGGGGAGTGGGTAGAGGAGGGAGAGAATGGGGGTGTGGGAGGCGAGAGGAGGTTTTGGAATTAGAGGTGGAAAGGAAGCTCTTGTGATTAAAGCACTGCACCAAGGAGGAGACCACGGTTCAGCCCTGGGTAGCATGGGCACAGCACTGCCCTTTCCCCCGGAGCATCATGAGGATAAAATGCTCGGGTGGCTGGGAGCTGCTCAGACACGAGGGTCAGCTTGATGCTCCATTGGGACGGGAAGGGTCAGACTGAGTAGTGCTGATGAGAGGCCTGGTGGGTCGTTGTCTATTCACTAGCCCTAGGGGCTGGGGTAGCCAGCTGGGGAGCTGCTGGGGGCGGGGTGCTTTGTGGCTGTGCTATGGAGGAGGTCTTCATATTTTTTCCCATTTAGCCCTTCTATTTCCCACTCCCTGCTCCCAAGTTTATTTGACACGGTCCCAGCTAATTCATTCGCATTCCTTCATTACATTTTTCAGCTGTCTGCCTAAGAATAGAAAACCATGATGATTATTAGGTTGGCTCTGGCAACTGCTAATTGGAGCCGGAGCCTTCACCTCAGGCTGGCTGGTTTGAATCCAACCTGAGCCAGTGGCATCTAGATGTTGTTACCATCGCATGTATACTCATGCGGTGAGTTGTGCCATGAGTTCCCAGTCCAGGTCTTGAAAGGCACAGACAGGGCCATGCTGGGCCAGACGTGGCATGGATGCACTCTGGCACGCTCTCTGCAATAGCAGCCAGCCCCAACTGCATCAAAGGGAGGTGCTACAGACCCTGTGGTTATGGGGTAATTTGGGAACATTTCTTCCTAATCCCTTTCCTGTGAGGTTGGTGAATACCCTGATGCATGAAGCCCCTAAATGCTAGCACTTCCTTGTTTCACAGATCCCTACATTTTCAGGGCCAGAAGGGGCTACTGAGATGGTGTGTCTGATTGCCCGCAAAGCACAAGGCAGACACTTCCCCCAGTGGTTCCTTTACTGAGCCCCCTGACAGCCCGTGGCAGAAGTGTGGTCACCTCTCTTCTGATTAGGCTTAATCCAGCTCCTGTTGAAGTCAGTGGGAGTCTTTCCACGGATGACTGTCAGCTGGATCTGGCTAGTAATGGTTGACAACCTTAGCAAGGGCTCAAGGACTGAGAGGTCCGGAGACTGAATTCTCACCCTGGGAGGAGCCCCTCTCTGGGGTTCAGTTGAGGCGCCTGGATCATCTTTAGGCCAGCAAGCATAGCAGACTGGCTCTACTGCTGGCCCATTGCTGTGTGGACTATTTCAGCTTCCTATGCTGATCTTTCACCCCGACCTCATGTGGAGCAACATCAGGAGCAACACGGGGGCAAGGTTGGCGCATCTCAAGCGGGCGCGGGTATTTGCAGTGTTACTTCATCTCCTCCTCCTCCTCCACAGATGTCGATGAATGTATTGAGGGAACCGACAATTGCCACATTGATGCCATCTGTCAGAACACCCCCCGGTCCTACAAGTGCATCTGCAAGTCTGGCTTCTCCGGGGATGGGAAGCACTGCAAAGGTAAGGAGCCCAGCTGCCTCAGCCCTTCCACTGCAGCGTGGTGGTAGTGGCAGAGTCTCAGGAATCACTGGGAGATGGGGCTGTGTTAGTGCAGGTTTCACTGTGCAATAGGGGCGTGATGCTTTAGTCCCAGCCCAGCCTATGCTGTTTACTGTGCTCCTGCGGGGTGTAAGCAAATGTGGTCTGCCTAAGCTTAACAGCCCAGTGGGCTTGTATGGGCAAGACATATTAGTTCCTCTAGCCAACAGCCTGCGAGCCAATGAACTAACCAGTATCCTGTCCCGCCGCCTTTGACCCCATAGCCCAAATGACTTGGCAGTCTTTGACAGCTGGGAGCAGCCTTTGGTGCATGTCCAAAACAGAGCTTGAACTCACACCTCCAGAGGCATAGCAAGATGCTTTAACCACTTTGTTACTGTGCTCCTTCTGGCATCCGTTTTTGCCAGCACAGGGTCAAGCTCAGGACAGCAGTGGTGCCAGGAGAAGGTTGATTTCTATTTCTAATTGAAGGGTTGCGTCTAACCCTAAATGGACCATTTGGAAAAACAAAGCATCCGTCATCACGGCCCCTCCCCATACTTTCAGATCAGCCCTGCTCCAGAGATTGCTTCTGTTTAGATTCCAGCAGAATCAGCTGGGTTTTGTTTTAAACAAATCAGCATTTTCCTGCCCTGTTTGCAACCCAGAGGTGTATCTGTAGGCCAGACCATGAGAATCTGCTGGAGTGAAACTGAGAAGCAAAATCAAATACCAGCTCAGACCTCTGCCTCGCCTGCTCCAATCCCTCACCCCTCTCCTCCATTGGGTATCCCCAAGTGCCTGAATGGAGATGCAGAGCACCAGTAAATGTGTAGGGTGCCAGCTGAACGGTCCCAGCTCATTGAGGACTTGGTACTGCAGCTCTAGCAGCTCCAGATTTTTTTGTTGATACTAGAACTCTCTATAGGAAGATGCAGGTTTGATGAAGGTTTCATTGGGAGGTTTTTCCTCTCTTTGACCCAAAACTTCATCACGGAGCTGAGAGGGACATCAGAATAGCAGTATCTTGGTGGTTAGGGCCAGCACTACTGTAGTCCTAGATTGAAGTTCCTGCTGTGCCTTGTTCAGAGAAGGGTTAGTGCATGTGACAGTGCCAGATAAAGCCCCATGGGTTTGATGCTGTAACTACACGTAAGAGAGAGTCTCTGCCCCCAAGAACTTACTGTCCAAATATGAGAGCAGAAGTATTGCTATCACCATTTTGCAGATTGGGCAACTCAGGCATTGAAAGACTGAGCGATTTGTCCACAATCGTACGTGGAGTCTGTGGCAGTGCCAGGAACTGAACCTGCATCTTTTTGAGTTTCAACACAGTGTTTTAACCTCAGCACCCCCTCTCTACCAAAGATGAAAGGCCCCATTAAATTGCATCTTATTTGCAGCTGTTGTAGTAGCATTTTCAATACAAAGTAGCTACCACAAGCAGAGATATGGGCCTCAGGACAATCTAGTACTGGACATTAGAAGGCATGGACTGGCACTGGGAACTATTGTGTGCAGCTGGCTCCTGTACTCCCATTGTGTTGCCTGCCTTTATGCTTTCTTTTTGAGTCTGACTCCCATTCCTTTCACACTAGGACTGCATCTGCAGAGCTTCTGGACTTTGTTAATGGGCATTAACAATGAGGTAAAATGGGCATTCAGGGTATCGAAAGCCCCTGTTCCTGGAGTATCTCAGCTTCCACTGACATGGTGAATAGCAGGGAAACAAACAAAGAGATTAGAGGGATGACAGCCAATTAGTTTGAGGTCCAAAGTCTTGATTTGCTAGGGGCGGAAGAGAGAGTTCCACGCAGTTGAATAGGAATGGGAACATCGCTGTAAAGTTCAACAGCAGCAACCAGAAATTGGTGAAAACCAGTTCTTAAAGACAAACATACCCCTGCAATGCCATGAACCCAAGCACAGGCTTCAGACTAAGGACAAGAATTTAATCAGAGTCCAAAAGAAAGTGTGCATTTATACGGACATCAAGAACGTCCTGGGTCAGAATGAAGGGCCGCACCTTTTGGAAGGGAAATGAAGCTCATGGTTCAGGGCTCGAGTTCATTTCTGTGAAACAGAGACCAAGGTTAGACCTTCAGGATGGCGTGAATCATTCAACTTCTGCCTGTCATGGGATTCTTGCATCTCTCTCTGAAGCATCTGATATTAGCCACTGTCAGAGCCCAGATACTGGTCTGGGGTCTATTCCAGTCTGGTAATCCCTGTACCAGTCTTTGAACAGAGATGCATACAAATACTTGTCTAGGATGGTTTAGACATGCATGATCCTCCCTTGACAGGGGGCTGGAGTAGATGACCTCCTGAAGTCCTTCCTAGCCCAGCATTTTTATGATTCCACACCAAGAGAGTGAAATGGGCTGCGAACAGAAAATAAAACCATAAGTGACGTTTGTTGTCCCAGCTGTTGTGATATGCAAAAGAACCCAGAAAGCATTGCTGGTGAGAAGTTAAACCTGGGTTCAGTAATCCCCCACAGTGATGCTGGTAGCCGAGGTAATGATTTGGGTTTGATTACATGGGGGGCAGGGCATGCACCCTGAGTTAAAAACCCCATTGGGGTTGCATGGGGTATAGGTAAATGATGGACTTGGCCCAAACATTTGATCATTGTTGTCATTTTAATTGCTTCTGGTACTTTTGCTTTGCCTTGATGCCCCTACCCAAGGGAAGGGAAGCAGTGGGAAGGAAGTTGAGAAGCGTCTTCATTCCATGAGCACCTTGGAATGGCGCTCCTCTGGAGCAGCCTCTCTTTCCCCATACATCTAGGTTTGCTAAGGTTGGAGCTGGGCTACTGAGTCTATTCCAGTCCCCCAGCTGTTATCCCTGGAGACTATGGGTGAAATAGCCACAGGAGTTGCTTCAGTGGTGGGCAGGTTGTTTTGGTTGCAGTGGTTCTTTCCTCCATACTGGTCACAGTGACATGATAAGAAAGCCAGGGAATAGCTGGATATGAGCAGCACCAAAATGTAGTGGGTGGAATGGCTCACACTGGGATACCAGAGATTACAGGGTGCAGCTGTCAGTCTGTATGGGCTGTATGCAGTCTCACAATCAAGAATATCACATATGTTCACAAATCACAGTGGCCCCTTCCCAGCCTGCAAAGCTTGTAGCTGGGCCTTGGGATGAAGTCATGTTTCATCGCTCTCCCTCCTTCTCTTCTATTTTTGCAGATGTTGACGAGTGCGAGCGGGATGATAACGCCGGCTGTGTCCATGAATGTGTCAACATCCCAGGGAATTACCGCTGCACCTGCTACGATGGCTTCCGCCTGGCCCAAGATGGACATAACTGCCTGGGTAAGGCCTCGGCAAGCTGTTTGGTGGGTTTAGATGGGGCCCTGTGTGCACCATGATTCTGCAACCATGGGCTTTAGAACCGATTTCCCCTACTACAGAAATGCTGCAGAGTCCTGCCTTGGGTTGGTGCAACAATATACCAGAGCTGGTGGTCAGCAGGAGCTGAACCTGGGATCAAAAAGCATTAGTCTCTGCTACCTGAGCTGTAGGACCAGCTCTATTAGTTTGATGACAGCGGCACAATCTCCCTATATGGCACCCAATATAGGGACAGCGCTGTGCTGTGGTGGCTCAGGTTCCATTTCAGAACAGGGCGTTTTCAGCTTTCAGAGTTAGAGAGAAAACTTTGTAAATCTGACTGCCAGCAGGGTGTCATCCTGAGTCTGTAGACAGCCTGAAGTAATAGCTGAGAAAAGGATGGCTGGCAATGTGCATCTTGTGGGGGTGTTGCTTTTGCAGGGTCTGAACCTGTAAAAAGGTGACTGCTTTCTGTGCGTTGCTGGGTCCTTCGCTCCCAGTTGGGAGTGCATCCAGCCCTTCTGAGGGTCAGGCCCGTAATTGTTGGGCTCAGTGATCTAACCCTGCATTTTGAGTCAGATGCACCAACTGGATTTTCACAGCTGAAAAGCCTGTACCAGAGCAGCCTGCCTCTGAACCACCCTGGTGGACTTCCCCCACCTTCAGTATCCAGTCCCACGTGGGTCCAGAAGGGAAGGGAGGAGTAGCTTAGAGCTGTGGGGTGATCCATGTTCTCTCTGCTCTCCCGTGCCTCCTGACACGCTGTATGCCATTGCACAAATGCTCCAGCTGTGAGGTCTTACTGTTGTGTTTATTGCTTCTGTGTCCCGGAGAGGAATGCAAGCTTTTCTGAGTGGCCAGTCCAGCTATTGGAGTCCAAGGCCCACCCTTTCTCAGAGCTGCCGGGTTTCTTCACCAGAGAATTTATCACAAAGAGCCTTTGCTGTTGTTAAGTCTGCATTCAAACAGATCCTTACAGATCTCCACCTCCTGACTCCTCTGTCTTAGTGGGAAACAAGGTGTGACTGGTTTCGGGAAAGATAAAGTAAGAGCCAGTATGGGCTTCCAGCTGGTGAGCCTCTTAGACAAGCCAGCAGCTGGTGTTGTATGCATGGACTAGTTATTATATGTTGGTCAGCGCCTAGCACAGCGAGACCCATCTTGGTCATGGCTGTTAGCTGATATGTCGGTAGAAATATGAAATTATACTAAATGGCCGTGCTTTTCCCCAAATGCGGGGGCTGTACCTTTGAAGAGGTGGAGTTTTTTGGCTCCACCTGTTGGGAGGAGCTAAGACCAGCCAATAAGACCCAAGCAGTGATAGCACATGGAGCCTGTTGTGTTGCAAGAAGGTGAGCTGGTTTTTTACTGTCAGCCTTTCAGCCCAGTGAGAGAAATTGATAACCCAAGGGGTGTTCAGGACCCACACGTCTAAGCAGTGGGAAAGCTATAAGACACAAATCTCTTTCTTCTGCCATCACCTAAGAAGGTGAATGTTAGGCCTAATAAATTAACCTGACGCCCCCTGCCACCCTGAGTTCTGCTCTGTCCAGCATGATCCCCACGGCAGTCAGTGGAATTGAACCAATTTATCCCCAGCTCCTTGACACGAATCCTGGTTGGGGTAAAAACTGTGCAGTGTCTGAGACCCTCTTGTAGATTTGCCTCCCAAAGCTGCATCAGGGAGCAGGTGAGGGATGGTACCCACCTGAAACTTTTCCTGCACGCACTGCTTCCATGTCGTGCTCTTGGATGCCAAGCCAGGGAGAGCAATCAGGAGAGTGGGGCTTGACAGATCATGGATCCCTCTGCCAGTGCTTCTGCATCAGTGCCTTGAGCAGTCCTGTTTCACAGCCAGGCACCAGGCTCTAGCGGACAGCCTTTCTCATGCCCAGCTCCTGCTCCAACAAGCAAGGGAGGGGAGTCTGTCGCGGGCTTTTCTTAGTGCCCTGGGGAGCAGCATTCCTAGACATGTTGCTCGTCATCAACAAGTCCCAGCGAGCCCACAGACACCACCAGCCAGAAATTGCTGGGGCGTCTCACTGAGCGACTCTGGCGGGGAGTGAATCTTGGAGCTCCCAAGAGAGATGGCCAAGAGGAAGAAACACTTTGGGAAAAGCAGAGAATCAAGAGTGAGGGTAGTGGGTGCAGAGAGTGCAGTGATACTGCTTACCCCTGTCCAACAGTCGTCCTTATGTTCGGTGCTTCCCACCTCTCTTGCTCCTCAGGGCGCCCCTGTGCTTTGCTTCCCTCCTGCTCCATCTCACCTGCTCAGATTTATCCTGGGACTTGCTTTGCTTCCCGTTTCTCCAGTGTGGCCCTCTCCCTGGCCCAGACTTCCCCTGCAGCATTGCACTCTGCTACCCAATTCACCCCTGTCCGCAAGAGCTCCTTTGTTTTTTCCCATCTTTTAGCCCACTGTGCCCTGATCCCTGGCACAAACCTGCTGCGCGGCAGCTCCCATGATCTTCCAACGTCTGCCCACCCTCCACACTGCAAAACCCAGCATGGTACAAACCGATGCAAAAATGTATCTCGGGGACAATTTTTTTTAGACACTGTTTTTGTTGCGTCTGCAAAGTACTAACAGCAGCAGCAGCTGGGAATTTTCAGAGTTGTTTAAACACTGACATATCGTCAGTGAAATGCTGACTCCCTCTCCCCACCACTGCCCCGGGACCTCGTGCTGAAAGATCGTAATCTCCCAGTTACATATTTCAAACATGTTATTAGGGAAAATTGCTGACAGGGGAGGCAGCTGGCCCCAGATCTCATCCCCATGGCAGGATCAGTGAGCGCCGCAGTGCTGGGGCTCAGCCCTGGCAGCAGCTGTATAGCCGCACTGCTTGGGCCTGGGGTTGTTACTGCCCAGGTAGGTAGTGGCGGAGTCCCAGGGCTGCTCCTCAATTCTGTGGCAGCATCGTTAAGGGTGTGAGGAAGGCAGTGCGATTCTACGTGCCTGGAGAGCAGCGCTTCACTTCCCAGAGGCTCCAGCCCAGCCTGGAATTCCCAGTCGGGCCGTGGGAACTGGGGCACAGGGCTTTGGGGTAAGTAGGTGCACAAGCCAGCTACCCTGGTGTATTCACCTAGTAGTAACCTGCTCCTGGGTGTCTCAGAGCTGCAGAGGGTACGTGATGAGCAAGGCAGGTGTCAATACACTGTGTTGGATGAGGCAGTTGTACCCCATACAACCGTTAGCCGGATCAGTCCTGAAAGGGGCCTTCTCTGCAGCTGGCTGTGCTTGTGCAGATGGAGAAACCGGGGCATGAGGAAGTGAAGCAGTTTGCTCTTGGCTTTGCAGCGAGCGATGGGCAGAGCTGGGAATAGAATCCGATGGCCAGCCCTGCTCCTGGGAGACCCGCCGTCACCCAGGCCCTGCCACTGCTGAGACCCATGCGTGATCTCTGCTCTTCCCCTGCATGCCCTGCTAGCCAAGGAAGCACCAGCCTGCGTCGGATGCAGGAGTCCCAGCTGCCCAGTCAGGCTTGAGGTCAGCCTTGCACCTGCCAAAATAGATGAGTTAATAGCAAGGACGGCAGGGATGTTAACCAGCAACCAGGATGGGTAAATAATTCCCGGTCCAAAACAAACCCTGCATCGGCTTGCAAAGAGGCCGCGCATCCCACCCCCAGATTCCATCCGGCCGCAGCTGATCCAAACCATTGTCAAGCTCTGTCTTCACAGCGCTGAGCAAGCCTGGCCACCTGCCCTGCTGCGGCGTCACTGACTCTCTCCTTCCACTGGCACCCTCTGTATAGGGTGTTGCCAGAGGGAGAAGGGAGATTGATGCCCAGAAGGGTAGCCAAGAAGCCATGGGCATGTGGGATTTGCAGCCATCCTTGCTTCAGGTTGATGTGGAAAGCGCAGAAATGGCCCTGCACTGATTTCACTCTAATTAGTGTCTGCAGAGAGGTCATTAATGAGCTTTT